GTCAGTAAAGCAGAAAGTCTGCGAAGCAGAACAAGACTCAACAGAAAAGAGTAGATTTCAGCAGTGCAGCTCAAAAAAAATAGAACCTAACTTGTAGAGAGTATCATATAATCATATATTCTCAAGTTGAACACTCCCACTACGCCCAAATTCCTGGTGAGATAAGTTGGTTGGGTTTGAGAGAAAGAAGGACGGCTAATTAAAAACAATGTTGGGGAAATGTCAAAGCATAAACAAAGCTTATGTTGCTTTCAATCTTACAATCAATTCCATACCACGCGTGCAACACTAGCCCCGCCTTTTAGCTTTCTCTAGGGTTTCTCATTGTGTAATTTAATTTCATCATTTGAAATATTTCTTTTACTTCCTCATCAATTTAACGTAATTCAAATTATAAAAATAACATAACAATAAACAATGTACTCCGAAGTATTACCATAAATTAAATTAATTATATAGGTTTTTTTTTTTTTTTTTGTTTGGAATTATAAAATAATATCACTAATTTATCTAAGAAGATCAATTCTAAACAGAGATTCAAGTCAACCAAGTTTCTTAATAATTGTATAAAGTCAACAGTATTGTTATGTTTTTATTGTGTGCTCGCGCTTATATGTTGGTGGCCAAAATTTGGAATCAGTCTTTAACCATATAGGTCATGTTATTTTAAGTTATTGTGGTTTATTTTGCTCTACTGAAATCCGCTATGCTTTGCTGACACTTGAACTTTTCTGCTTAGAAATTCAAAAGAACAAGGTCTACTCGCTATGTTTTTCTTTTTGAATGAATGTGTATGTTTGCATCAATGCATGTGGGCAATATTTGGTGTTTGTTGCCAAATACTTCGTATTTCACTCCTTAAATAAATGTATGTGAGTGAAATTAAAATATTATTACTACTTCGTATAAGTTTAGTGAAATAACAGGAAGTGATGCTTGTGTGAACAGTTGACTTTAAAGCAGTTATATGTAATATGACTTTCATAGGGCAACTTAATTGCCACCTTTGTCTAGCTAAGGAAAGGCAAAAATTCCAAAAACATTCACTGCTAATGACTTCAGAAATGTGGTTCTAATATCTCATCATTCCTTGTCCATGTCTAGTTATTGTTCTTTGGGAAATGATATACTCACCTATGTTCATGATGTCTACTGTCTAGTAATTAAAACATGAGTAATGCTTCGTAAGAAGAGTTTTGAAGATCAAAATTGATGATATATATGACAATTAATTGGATGCAACCGCGCGAATGAGTTGATATATAGCTTGATACTCTTGTGAACAACTACTTTCGGAGTAGTCATAATAAGAAATAAGGTTAATTGAAGTGATAAAGCTATTCAAGTGGAATAACTTATTTGTCAAAAAAAAAAAAAAAAAAAAGTGGAATAACTTAAGTGGTTTACTTTGTTATTCATCATTAATATAAATACGTAATTATCGGGCTTGTTTAACATTGTTTTTGGTTTTCAAATTTTTGTTTTTCTTAAACAAAAAAAACCAAAACAAAAAACAAGAAAAAGATATTTTCACTTTCACAAAGTCCTATATGTGCCTGGCCACATCGTGTGACCAACCACTATAAAAGTTACTTTAAAAACTTATTTGTTTAAACAAAAAAAACCAAAACAAAAAACAAGAAAAAGATATTTTCACTTTCACAAAGTCCTATATGTGCCTGGCCACATCGTGTGACCAACCACTATAAAAGTTACTTTAAAAACTTATTTGTTTAAACAAAAAAAACCAAAACAAAAAACAAGAAAAATATTTTTCTTGTTTTTTGTTTTGGTTTTTTTTGTTTAAAAAAAACCAGGCACTATAAAAGTTACTTTAATAATTTACTAATGTAATAAAAGTTACTTTATTACATTATTATAAAAAGTAGAATAACAGTTACTTTATAACATTATTATAAAAAGTAGAATAATAGTTACTTTAATGTTATATTAAAGTATAACATTAAATTATACTTTAATATAACAATGTTAAAGTATAATTTAATGTTATATTAAAGTAACTTGATCAATGTTATAAAAATTACTTAAATTTTCACACTACAAATATCAAATATATCCTTACTTTAATAAATTTGATAATTTTTAATTTTCAAATTTATCATAATTTTAATAAATTTGATAAATTTTTAATTCATTATATAACATTAAATTATACTTTAACATTGTGATATTTACTTAAATTGTCAATTTTCAAATTTATCATAATTTTAATAAATTTGATTAATTTTTAATTCATTATATAATACTTCCTCCATTTTTTTAATATTGCACCACTTGCCTTTTAAAGAAATATCACAATTATTGCACCATTTCTATTTTATAAAAAAAAATCTTGTGTTCACACTACAAATATCAAATATATCCTTACTTTTCAACACATGATTATTTAGTTTATGTATACCATCACATGGGCAATCTTGTACTTTTACCTTTCTCTCTCATCCTTTTTTCCAATACCAAAAATCTTGTGTCAATCTCCTATGGTGCAATAAAAAAAGAATAGAGGAAGTATATATCATAGATTTTCAAAAACAAAAAACCAAAAAAAGAAAACCGCAGTGTGTAATTACTCACTTTTTCGATGATTTTTTTCAAAAGATATTCCTTCTTATAGACTCCGTATGGAATTTATAAATTGGTTTCAAGCGAATTTGAATCAACATATCAAACAAATACGAGTAAGTACTTCGTATTTGAAATACCACCATTTTTCTAAAAGGAAGGCCCAGTTCACTTCGCCTTGTTTTTGCTTAACTAAAATTATTTTTACTAAATTGCAATTATTTTTAATGATTTTCAATTAAATTTCTTCTTTAAAATTACTGAAGTTTACTAAACTGAAAGTATTTTTACTGAATATTATTTTTTTAAGATGAAGTAAACAAAGTCGAAGTATATTTCAAACTAATTCATAGCTATACAAGTTAATCTTAACAAAGTATTGTAGATATAGTTGCCTTGATTGTGAAGTCAATTTTAGCAATTTAATAAAGGAGTTAGCAATTTATAACTATCCATCACGTATCCTAATTAAAGTATCATCGAACTTCAATTACCTAAAATCTTATATCAACCATAAAACATAATTATACGAAGTTGAGGTTTATTTACATAACTTAATTTACTAGCCTAACAAATACTCAAATTTTTATGGCTGATAGCAAGTACTTGAAGTGGTATCATTTTACACACGATTAATAGTTGAAATTAAGCCAATTTTCCTAAACTAAATTTATTTTATGAGATAACTTGATGATTAACATTATGACCACCAATGTCTTTAATCACTATGTGTGCTGATGGCCAATTGGCCCAATACTAGGTTCAACAAAGAGGCTTATTAATCCTGGTGCTCTCTGTACCCGGTAGAATGGTTTCGTAAGTTTTTCTTGGTTTTTCCGGCTTCAATGTCAATATTGCTATGCAATTGGTGGTCAGCATCACGACTCCATATCTTCGCCCCCAACTACGTTACACAAGGTTGTTAGCTTGATGTTTGTGTGTTTAGTTTGTTGTGTCTGTTTGTTTTTGATACGCAATGTAAGTCCTCTATAACTCCATTATCTTACTAGAATTTTAAGCTACTTTAGAAGTGAACAGAGCGATCGACTGCATCATAGGTAAATATGGTCATGAGATGTTTAAGGATGAAATTATTAAGAAATCAGACTGTATGAATAGCATCAGAAGTCCTGGTTGCACAGCATACGCTACCGGTCTACCCCTTAGTTTTGCACTCTAATATTTCTTTGCTCTGCATAAAGGAAAATCCAAAGGCATATCTGTTTCGATTTATAATCGGCATTTTAGAGATTTCATAGGTATGGTGTTTTGGCAACAACCTTTAGTCAGAAATATCAGTCTTGGGTCAAGTTTCCTCTAGAATCCTGGTGCCCATTGGATTGGTTGGTTCTGCTAATTGATCCAAGCTGCCAAGAAACCACATCAGTTAATCCTGTCATTGACTTCCTATGGTGCAGTGACGCCATTTTAACCATAGTAAATGCATGGTGCTGTTATGAATGCTTCGGATGTCAACAACTCCTTCCTATAGTGGCGCCATTTTAAACTATAAACAATACATGGTGCTGTTATGAATCATTGAAGCTGCTCCGAATATGTCAACAGCTCCTTCCAATGGTGCAGTGACACCATTTTTAACCATAAACAATGCATAGTGCTGTTATGAAGCTGATTCAGATGTCACCAGCTCCTTCCAATGGTGCAGTGATGACATTTTAACCATAAACAATGCATGGTGCTGTTATGAAACTGCTTTGGATGTTAAAAGCTCAAGCTGTTCCGTAACTAGATCAGCTTTGCATTTGGTCCAAAAAGAACAGCCAAAAATCATTGAGGTAAGCGAAAAGAGGATCAAACAATAATAAGTGGAGGAAACTGCCAAAGTTAACCTCATATCTATTGCCTCATTTTCCTCATTATCCTCTAAAGATAATGTTGATGATGTAACATTAATCCAATCCATCACTCATGTTCTGTTTCTGTCCTCTTGTTCATCATCTTTGAATGGGTGCCAGAAAATTTCTTCACCAAATATCATAATATATGGATTACTAAATTCTGGATTACCAGAGTACCAGACCATAATGATATGGCACCCGTCACCATCCTCCATGACTCCATTGGGTTTGTTCGTTCTGATACATTACAGCACCGCACCACATCACATATCTTGGCACAATTCTGGATTAGCAGAAGAAAACTTTCGAGAATGTTGTTGTTGACGTTGATACAATATGGTCCTTCAAACTTAAGAACGAGTAACATGCACGTTAAAGATTACGTATGGTGTTGGAGAAACCACCTCTGCCTTTCCTTCCTCCAACGGCCAAGCAAAAACAGAGGCCATTCAATTAGATAGGTTATACCCTCACAAACAAAAGCATCATAATCATTAGCACAACGCACATATAACACTTAAAATATACGTAGTATGTAAAATATCGAGTTTTAGTGAGGGAAGGAAATCAACAGCCTAAGGCTGCACAAACAAATGCCATTAAGTTTCACAATGCTTGCATACAACATAAAAGTTCCGAAATACAGTAGGGTAATTTATCATCTGCCATACAATCTCAAATGAAGCCATATCATAAGTGCATAACCTCAATAAAAAAAACACTAGTAATGCAAAAATGAGCCTTGTAAAAGAATGAATTAAGAACCAGCAAATAAATAAAAAATAACCTACGTGTAATCCCTGTATAAAATTAAATAACCTTATTTCAATATAAACAACAGAGATGCAAAAAAATACTCCGTAAATAAGAAACTCAGGTTAGTATGTTACCACTCTGGAATATTTGGTAGGGCTTTCAGCTGGCAGAAGAACTCAAATTTTGCTTGGCAGGATACGTTGCAAGATCTGCCTCCACATGTTCCGGGTCATTCATAACCATCAAAATATATAGGAATAATATGAAGCCTCTGCCAATATGCAAACAAATCTAGCAAGTGAACTACTTCATTTTATTTCCCTCCTAATCTACTACCAGGGTAACAAGTCATTCCCAGCAACACCATTAGAAGATCCATCCACACATGATATTGCTTGGCAGCCGCATCTTGATGGCAACTGCTCAAGTGAATCAGCTAACAACTTGTCCAGAAAGGGGGGTGGAGGAACATCCAAAAGTCTTACGTGGACTGAGAAAAACCGATCAGGGTGGGGCAACCGCCCAAAAAAACACCTCAAATGCCCTTCTTTCCACGTCATCTTTGGAGGATAAATGGATAATACTAATGATGTACAACAATTACCATCAATTTCTCTGAAATCACCTCTTGTTTCGAGCATTGCACAATAAATTGCTCCCAGCATCATCACTTTTTACTGGGTGCCAAAAATAAGTATATTAATCCAAATTGCTGAAAGCCACACCACTCCAATATTATTCTTCTCTACCAGCTGTAATGGGGCCTTTAAGCATTTTCCCCTGCTCAATGAAAACACCAATAGATGGGGCCTTTTTGATATGGGGCCCATGAGGTCCCCGGTGAAGTCGAAATTTGGAGCCATTAACACCTATGCTATGATATGCATGGATTTTAAGCAACCACATCTATCCTTCCTCCCACAATCTGGTAATAACAGAAACAACTCATTTAGATGGTGTCACAATACACCAAAAACAAAAGCATGTTGATAACCAGCATTTTAACATAGAAAACAAATTAAAAGATAAAGATCATCTGTTTTATGCCCAAGTAAAATATCAACAATAAAACCCTTCGCGTACACATGACATCAAAACTTCATCACAAAAAAAATTTAATTGACTCATTATATGCAAAAGCACAACAGAAAAAGTTACATAGCTTATTATACCAAGTAATACAAGTAGGTAGGAATCATAGGATGGATGAACATCAGTAATGTGAGTATGTGACTATACAGAAGATATAAAGACTGGTGATGCGGATAATCAGCTAAAGATCTGACATGCCAGAATGTACGAGCCACATAATCAGCATTCAGCACACTTAGACTTACAAAATTGAATCATAAGAGAAAACCAAAATATTATTGCTTTTAGCCTAAATCAGAATGCATTGAGGTAGGTTCAGAATCAACAACTCATCCCTGAACCAATACAAATATTCATGACCAAAAAAAAAGGAATTATCAATGATCAGCAGATAGCATATTCCGTAACAGATAAAGAACAATTTGATCCTGAACAGAAAAGGTATCATATCAAGACCTTATATGATCAAGTGTGGCAATTCAAACAATGAAAGAACAGAAAATATATTTATCAAAGTCGTATGATTAACTTGTGTTAGTGTTAATATTGAATTGCTCACAGGCAACATTTGTTTAACTCCATGACCACAATGTTCTATAAACCCAACTCTTAGTATAAGATTTTCTTCTAATGATGCAATTGTGTATTCTATGTTGGGAGGACTTAAGAGCAAGGTGACTAGGGCAGTTTATCCATAAAACAGTATAAGTGTATCATAACAAGTCTCTAATAGCATTTTCTTAGAGCTAGGCACCAATGCTCTAGCTCGTTGGAGCTCAACTCATCTATTTCCATACAAAAAGCTCAAGAAGATCAATCTACAATTCGATAATGTATAGAAATCACACCAATCAGAAAAAAGGCCGTCAGGCATAGTTCAAAAATCATCTTTAACCAAAAAAGGTAAACCTCAACTTCCCAATACTACAAAGTACCAACACAATCTTGTTAGTACTACTACATTGCAACAAAGAAAAACAAAGCAAAAAAAGTACTACGTATTAAGAAAAATGAGCACCAATAAATGAACTAGATTGGACTGAAAGCCGAAGTTTCCCCAATCCACTTAAATACACTCCTAATTAAGTACACTAATCGTCGAATATGATTCATATACTCAAACACAAAATCTTATTATCACAACTAAGGTAATCACATCCAAAAAAAAATTCAAGTATTTAGAATACTTACAATACGTCCAAAAGAAATCATCTTTGATTCATTTCCATCACATATTCACGATATTCTGTTGTACTCCATAAGCCCTGCAATTGCAAAGTAGAAACATTAAATTAATACAATAAGATTAAATCATAAAAGAATAACATTATACATTCGACAAAATCTAAACTCAAAGAATATCAATATCAATAAATAAACCCCAAACTATAACACAAAGTACATAATATTTATATTAAACATATATTCAATAATAATTAAAAAGACACAAAATATCAATTACGTAGTACATAAATTAGAAATATTACAACAAAAAAAAATGAATAAATACGCCGAAATTCAGTACTTTCACAAAGAATACGTGTAGATAAGTAGAAGCAACATGTTGATACGTGGCATTTGTCAGATACCGTAACTAATCTCAGACTATACGGCGCCGTAGACGCCATTAACGCCTTAACGACACAGATCAATACGACAAACCATCACACACAAAACGACATTCAATTCACAATTTGCAAGGATAATAAAAAATGAATATAATCGAAAAATGAAATTGAATTTAAAAAAAATGTACAGTAGTAAAAACTCACCCAGCGTTAAGATTTGACAGAAAATTTGGGCTCAATCCAAACTTCGCAAAAACAATTCTCATTACTTTTCGTCGTCATCATCATAGTATAATTTTTTTTTCCTTACATCATACTACATCATATAATATACTGATATACGAAGTATATACTATACTATATACTTTTTTTTTTTTTTATGGAATATTCTCATAAAAAAATAATATCCTATAACTTTGTTCTTCTTCAACAATTCCAATCCAATTGAAACTGAATACTATTGCCAATGATTTCCATTATGAATGAGGTAAACATGGCTGGAATTCCGGCAACAATGATGGCAATTTCTGTTAGCAGATTGTGCATAACGGACAGGATACGCCATCACTGGTGGCACAACTCTTGGCGAAGCAACTCTTGGAGAAGATCCGGCAGCTGAGAATGAAGATGATGGCGAAAGCGATTTCGGCGAGAGTAATTTCAGTGAAGCTGGAGGTGATAGACTTGATGTTGTTGTTGTTGTTTTTGATGATCGAATTGGTGAAAGGAAAGCTCTAACTTTCATGGAAGAATTTGATGGAATACGGTCGTATTCTTCGATCAAATTAGCGAGATCTTCGTCGGATTTGATGGATACCAAAGCATCAAGATCTTCTGTTGGTAGTTGACACCTTAAACTCACTGATTCACCGCATAATTCTCCCATCTTTTTCATCAATTCTGTAATCATAAACCGAATCATCCGTCAGCAATTTGCAATTTCTCAATTAACAAATTAATCATACACTTCATTATTCTGTCAAATTCATACTAAACTAACAAATTAAACTCACTGAAATCACAATTGAATGACTAAAAATGCGATTAGTTAGTCAATTTTACACTGAAAGTAATAAATGAAGCACAAAAACTAGGGTTTAGAAGAGTGAGAGAGAAAACTGACCAGAGAAAGAGATGGAGGGAGGAACAGCGAGAACACGAGTATGGCCGCCATTGTAACGGAGCTTGCCATCAGGATAACGAGGAAGGATCTTGCCGCCGTAACTGCAAAGGAATTTGATACTGGATTTAGGGGAAAGAGGAGGTTCAAGCGAAGGTCTAGTCATTTCTAGAGTTGAAAATTCCGTTGATTACTGTAACTGGAAATGTTGTTTGTTTGTTTGAGAGGAGAGAGAAAATGAGGCAGTTAAGAAGAGGAGAGAGAAGTGAGAAGTTGGTTGTGTGTTCAAGCCTATGGAAGGTAGAATGGAGGCGTTATTTATAGGACGAGTTTTGAGGTATAGTGTTTGGGAGAGGAGAGAGAAGAGGAAAAAGGGTTGAGGTTAAAACTTAAAAGTAGAATGTAGAAAGACCAATTGACGTAAGTTGGTTACTCACTTGGATTGGGATTTTTGTTTTCACTTGGTAGTGAAAATTTGAAAGGGATGGCCCAAATAATGGGCCCAACCTCATGACCTCATCATCTCTTTCACTCTTTTACTTGAAAAAAAAAACTTGGAGTACCTTGCATAATAATAATAATAATAATGATAATGTTATACATAGCCCTTAGGGCTATATATAAGCATTAAAAACACTCTTGAAAATTGTATAAAATTAGGAGTTCATGACAAAAATACGTGTAGATTAGTGTAATTATTGTGAATTTGTCATGATTTTCTAAATTTAAACATTTTTCAAGAGTATTATTAATGCTTATATGTAGCCCTAAGGGCTATGTATAGCATTTTCCTAATAATAATGATAATTTAACAATAATAAACCAACCATTGTCCTGTTCTCTCAAAATAAACTAACTTTTAAATCTCTTTAAAATAAACATAAGTTGACATTTATTCTCTCAAAATGAACCCAAATGATCAGTGACCAGTTTAACCAATCATTTTGTTTTAAAAAAAATCCTTTAATTATTTGTTTTTTAAATTAAAAAAGTAATTTTAAAAACAAAAAATAGACCACTCTCCCCTCACCTCAGTGTCAGCCACCCCCTCCTCCACATTTCCTCCCTTTCACCTCCCATTTTCGACCATCCCCTCCCTTTCCATTGCATATTCCGACCACACACCCGCTCCTCATGAAACCCCTAATAGTGTGTGTGGGGATAGATGATTGAGAAGGAAGATGTACAAGGGGAAGGAGGGGAAGGGGAGGGGAGGAAAAAAATATGAGTTTTCTTTTCAAATCTCTTCATTATTGAAGAGATTAATTTCTTACAATTTAATCCCTCCATTTCTCTCCCCTTCAATTCCCTCTCTCCCTAATTTGTTATCCAAATAAAAGATTTTCTACCCCTGCAATTCTCTTCATTTCTTTTCCCTCCATTTCTTCAATTCAAACAAAGTGTAAACCAAAAAAGTGAGAAATTGATGTAGAAAGAAAGAAGAATTGGAAGATAGAGAAATTAAAGATTTTATTAATTTTGTTTTGTATTGAATAAGAAAGAATTAAATTGTGTAAAATTGAGATTGAAGAGAGAGAATTAGGAAGAAGAAAGAAGATGGAGTTGAATAATATGAAGAGGTGGGTTAGGCCGCTGGTGGACCAACAGTGATAATTTCGGTTGAGGTTGCCTGCACCGGGGGAATTGGTTGGGCGCCGTGAGCCAGTAGGGGAGGGGGGCTGACAGTGGTGAGCCGGGAAAAGGTGGTTTTTTTAAAAAAAAAAAATTTCTTTTTTGTAAAATTTATCAAAATTAAAAAAAAAACCTTGGGCAATAAATTTAATGACATGTGGACTTTCTGCTATAACAAATAAGGCGACTTGTAGGTAAATTTTGGGAAATAAATGAAACTTAGTTTTATTTTGGAAAGTAATTTCAGTTCAATTCAGCTCCAACCAGACAATTAGTTCACTTCAATTCAGCTCCTAATTTTCTTCTCTCATAAAATATTCATTTCAACTCAGTTCAGTAAATGTGAACAGACCCTAACTAATTGTATTGCTTATTGTGTAAAAACGTTTGGTCAACACAAAGTAGTTGTTACTCCATACAGCTAATACATAGTAAGATTCGGCTTCTCTTGGTCCACAATTTGGATGTGGTTTGGTTTTCTTGGTTGTTTGGGCTTCGTAGCTATTGGTTTGCTGCAAGACCTTTTCAGTATTTTCCTCTCTTCGTTCTTTCTGTAATGGTTCTTAGTGTGTGTCGTTTAGGTTGTTTTGTATTCTTGTATTAGTTTATATTTAGGTTGTAATATTGTTTTTCTTTAATTGAATATTTTGTCAAAAAAATTAAAATAAAAAATACTCCGTAATAAGGAGTAAGAAATAGGTTATACAATTGCATAAACTGATCGTTAAAAGTTTTGAATTTTTTTACTTGACAAGTAGAATTCTTGGTACATGATGCTCTGCACTTTGTAGTAAACAAGTTTAGTTCTATGCGTTGCACGGATTAAATAGCTATTATTCGTTTAAAATAGTTGTTAATATTCTTTATTTGAAAATTAATATAACCATAATTTCATTAATTTATTTTGAAAGAAATATTGTATTTATTTAATCATGAAAATTTGAAGAAGAAAAAAAAAGGGATGAAGTCAAAAATAGTTTAGGCGGGAAAATTTTTCATAAAAAGTTGACATATGTCCTTTAATGATGTCAGCATGTTTTGTTTTAATAATAGTTAATAGATTTGATCAATTAATGTTATAATAGTCATTTCACCACAAATCACTTCCAAAAAAGTAAATCAACTTTTTTAGGATTTGTTTGACATCGTTTTTTGTTTTCAGTTGGATTTTTTTTTAATAAAAAAAAAAAACAAAAAACCAAAATATACGAAGTAAGAAAAAGGTGTTTCCATTATTCAGTTAGTATTTTTAAAAATTCTCATGATTTTAATAAATTTGACTAAATTTTTATTCATTATATCATATTTATCATATGATTTTGAAAAAAAAAAAAAAATTTACAACAATGCCAAACTAACCCTAAACTTTAATTTGGATATTTTCCCCAATAATGTAGTCATCTTCCAATCAAAGAGGATTTGAATTAGTCAATCCTCTTTAATAATGTAAAAATTCAAGTACTATGTACAATTTTGGACATGAGTGATCAAGATATTTAGAATAAAGCAAATTTGAGATATTTGATGCGTGGAGTACTTTATCATTAAAAGTTTTTGCATATCATTCACTTGTAATTACGTGTATGGTGTATCACTATTACATCTATCTCACAAATAATCGATCATACCGACATAACATCAATAAATTTAGCTAATAGGATTAACTCCTACTCTACATTTAGCTAATTATCTAACTATATTAATTAGCACCTCTAAGTATCCCTCACTCACACACACCTCTAAGTATCCCCACCATTTATGCTACTTACATATGTCACCTGAGCATACTTGTCATTAGCCAATCATAACCACTAATTGATTGAGTTCCACTAATCAACTCGTGCAACTCACATGGAATTTGGCTAGTGCCACGACTATTACTTGAAAAATCCAAACTACTGTTGTTTGTACACGCATTAATTCATTGCATATTTTATGCAACTTGCTAATTAAAGTAAGCCAAGCTAACTTTGCTACAATTACAACATATACAAACAACAAAGTACTAGTATATAGGCAGTGACGGATCTAGGATTTTAGAAATGTTGGGTCACCGTCATCAATCGATCCAAAGTGTTGATTTTGAGGAAAAGGATGATTTCATGGAGGAGGAGGATGAATTTTAGGACTAAAGAAACTTGTTATATTATACTCATGTAATTTTCCTTTTCATTCTAAAAATTAAGTTACAATATCAATAAGATTAATTGAAATTACTTATATAATATAGGTTACTATTATAGACTACATAGCTAGGATTAAATTAATAAAAGCAATGGTGGATTCAAAAAATACCCATCATGGGTTCGGACTTTCGGATTTATCGAACATTGTATAAGATAATTAAATTAGTTAACTGATGGATATAATAAATAAATGTACAAAAAAAAATATGATTGTGTAATAATATATATATATATATATATATATATATATGCTTTGATTTTAATGTAAAGAAAAAAAATTATATATACAATAATAAAAATGAAATGAAGAAAAAAAATTATAGAAATTAATAGGCTAATATGTAAATTGTCAAGTGGAAAAAATAGTCCCTGCCAATCTAAGGAAAAAATTACACTCAAGTATTTTCCGCCGAACCATAGACTTCCTTCCAAAATATTCTTGCTTTCATTTAGTTTTAAACCTTAAATTTGCTAGGTCATGTGACCTAGCACGAACAACGCTGGGTCCACCACTATATATAGGGTTGCTGATGTGTTCTATTCACCTAATTTTTATTGATATGAACTTATCTAATCTTATATCAACTTATCTGAACTTATTAGACCTTATTAAAACTTATGTTAGTTGTAATTTGAACATGAGAAACCCTTATCAAAACTTAATTTTCTTGAATTGAACTAATCTTAATTCAATTGAACTTATTAGACCCAAAATAACTGAAAATAAATAAGTGAAAATAAGGTGAACATCACAAACCCTATTTAGCGGTTTAAAATCAAACCTATTCTAATCAAAGACTAAAATTGTAGCAATTTATAACCTAAATAATTAAAATTTTGTTGTGTGAAAATAGTGATTTAAACTCTATTTCATTCTTCTAATTTTTACTTATTTTAATTATAAGTTTAGATAAGTTTTAATAAGATCGAGTTATCCAATTTTAAAATACAACTAAAATAAAGTTTACTAAAATGACATTCTTAGTACTCTTTTGAATTGATTACTAACAGTTGTATTTCTGTTTGTTCATTTATTTATTTATTTTTTTTGAAGGGATTTTTGTTTGTTTATTATTCTAATAAAAATAAGCTAATCACTTAAAGTTAAATTTCATTCCCTAAACTCTAGTATTTTTTTATATATTTTTTTTTATATATATATTTTTTAAATAATCGCAAGATTTCATTGAAGAAGGAATATACTACAAATACTAGAGATATTAGTTAGGGTCGAGGGTCGACCCCACCCAAAAAACAGTTAGGTTAGTCACCACAACATGAGCACAAAATACAATAGCCAAGACAATTTTGTGTGAACATAAACAAGATAGAAAGGTAGGCGATATAATATACTCGTAGCATAAAACTCCATTTTTGGCATAGTAAAAGTAACACAAACAAACAAGAAATAAATACCCCTTCTTTGAGATTGTGAAATTGAGCAAAACTAGACACAGAAAATGATTTAACTGTACTACCTGTATTTTTAATTATCTGTTCAATTTTATACTTCTGTCAATGTAATTATATATTTTATCCTAATCCTAA